CTATGGCACTCTTGGACCCTGCATGTAGCTGTGTCATTGTTCAGCAGCCTGCAATGCTCTGCCAACCTTGGGACTTGCAATGGACTTGAATTAATGGCCTGCCATGTGATTTGGTAATATCGGGACTGTGCCTTTTTACTTGTCAACCTTATGCTTGGCAGCTTCAGCAGCCAGCGGCTGTCTGAGTGAAGAAAAGCCTCTAGTTTCTGTGGGCCGGGAGCAGGAGGCAGAGCTGAACCCCAAGGTTGAGGGGCTTTCACCCAGCCCCTAGAGCCTTGGCACTTTGACTTGGACTTAAAGCCACCAAACCACAAGAGAATAAACTTCTGTTGTTAAGGCCATCCCATTTGTAGTAATATATTCTTGTCAGAGCAGCACTAGGTAACCAGAACAAAAGTGTTCCAGAGAGAAAACATCTTCCAAAGATTCTTATATCCCATCTTATCAACATTATCATGGAACAGAACTGATAAATAATTTCTGGTCAAGAAGGATTTCATATAACACTGTCTTGAAGAATAATAAAATAATTACTGATTTATCCTAAAACATAGCCCTAGTATGAACATTGGAGTCTCTATTTCTTGAAACTACACATAGAATGTTCTTCAAAAGAACACAATCCCTAAAGCAAAATGGTCTTTACTGATTTACCTAGCCCACTCTTTGACTCAAAGGTGGCCTTAGGAAACCAATTTCCCCAAGGCTCAAGAATATCTCAGGCAATGGCCTAGATGAGATACCCCACTTCATGGACCCCAGAAATCTAGATTGTGCAAGAATTAAAATTGTTTCTCAGTACTAATGTAACAAGCATCAATGTAACCATCATCCAGTTTTGGGTATAAAACATAGCAAGTAGGGTTGAAGTGCACTGTGTACATCTTCTGGATCACTCTGTGCTTCCCTGAGGAAACTGGTGCTTGTCATTTTTGTGCCTGACTTCATATTTTACTTCATATGTAGGCATTCCAACATAATACATAAAGATATATATAGATAGATATATATATAGATATATACATATTTTGAAATTTTATATAAATGGTGTATGATATACTCAAGGTATTTTTCTGACTCTTTTTTTTTTTAGTGTGAGGTGTTTGTGATTGATCTATGTTGATATATATTCTCTTTTCCTTTTGAGTTATCTCCTTACAAAGCAATGTTATTTTTTGTAATTTATAAAACTCCTGTTAAGATTTGTTTAAAAACAAAACAAAACAAAAAGATATTCCTGAGGGCCGTAAGAGAAGTCTGGAAAAAATGACAAGACATATCTTGTTTTTGGGTAAGAAAAGTTAACATTTTAAAGGTATCAATAATCCCCAAATTTTCAGTAATTAAAATATGTAGTACTGGTACAGAAATAGAGGTACTCATCAATGGAAAAGAATTGGGAGTCTACAACTATCACACAGATACGTGTGTGGGAACTTAGTATATGAAAAAAAATATTTTAAAAATTAAAAGGATAAATTTAGGAAAAAAAAAAAAAACCTCAAAACAAACTAACAACAACAGAAAACCAGTATTATCGAGTCACTTGAGACTCATAGCAACCCTAAGGACAGAAGAACTGCCCCAGAGGGTGTAAGACTATAAATCTTTACATTTGCAGACTGTCACATATTTCTCCCACAGAGCAGCTGGTGAGAGATCTTTAACCATTGTGTTAACAGTGTTCCTAGGACAATGTTAGAGACAATTAAACAAATTGTATTGGAACAACTAGTAAGCTGATTGGGGAAATTTTCATGACTATTTATTTTACATATTAAAATAAATTTCAGATGATCCAAGGCAGAAAATCTGATCCAAATAATGAAGAAAACATGGGTTAAGCCACTGAAACTAGAGAGAGATAGAGAGAGAAGGTGTCACACTTAGGGTTCATGTGAACTGTAGAACAGAAAATAAATTGAGTGACAAGTTTCTCAATTCTACCAATTCTACCTACCTGGGTACCATTCATTCTACAAGCTTAACAGAGAAGTTTGTTCTTTACATACGATCAATGCCCTAGGGCATTAGGGCTTAATTCTCCAGGGAACTCTCATTGAGAAAGGCTTAAAAACAAGTAAGTGTGAAAAATAGCTGCATTAATGCTGATAAATAAGGAATTTTCAAACACTAATATAACTATATTAACATACAAATACACAAACAATTCACATAAGCAATGCACAAAAGAAAAAATGTCATCGGCCAAAAAAAAAGATGAAATTATTTTAACTCTCACTAAGGAGCTCTGGTGGCATAGTGGATAAGGCATTTGGCTGCTAACCAGAAGGTCAGTGGTTCAAGCCCACCAGTCACTCTGTGGAAGGAAGATGGGGCAATCTACTTCCATAGAGATTTACAGTCTTGGAAACCCAATGGGGGTTGCTGTAAGTCAGAATTGACTTGTTGACAGTGAATTTGTTTTTTCTGAGCATTAATGAAATGAAAATTTTTTAAAAAAATAAACAGACATCACTCTGAGTTGACAAATTGTCAAAAATGGTAAAGACAAACAAAGATGCGCTGAAACCAACAAGCAGGCACTTTGGGTAGACTGTAAACTGGTATACTTCTTCTGGAAGGTACTCTTGCCCAGGGAGATAGTTAAGTGGTAATGCAAATGTGCAATCCTGGGCTTTTGATTCCAGACTTGTTTATAATTAAACCAGCTGCTGTTACGTCCATTTTGACTCATAGCAACCCCATCCATATGTGTCTGAGTAGAACTGTGTACCATAGGATTTTCTAGGTTGTAAACTTTTGGAAGTAGGCCTTTCTTCCAAGGCATCTGTGAATGGATTGGAACTGCCAACCTTTTGGTTAATAGTCTGACGCTTAACCATTTGCACCACCAAGGGAACTTTGTTTATGATCCATATGCATATATATATATATATTTGTTGTTGTTATGTGCCGTTGAGTCGGCCATGACTCATAGTGACCCCTCCTTGGGTTTCCGAGGCAGTATCACTACGGAAGTAGGATTGCCCAACCTTCCTTCCGAGGAGTGGCTGGTGGATTTGAACCGCCAGCCTTCTGGTTAGCAGTCAAGTGCCTTAGGCACTATGCTACCAGAGCTTATACATACACACACACACACACACACACACACACACACACATATATATATATACCTTGTTTATGATCCAGAACATATATATACATGCATACATACATACATGTCCTGGTTATCTAGTGCTGCTCTGACAAGAACATACCACAAATGGGATGATCTTAACAAACAGAAATTTATTCTTAACAATTTGGAGGCTTTAAGTCCAAGTCCAAAGTGCCAGGCTCTAGCCCCTCAACCTTGGGGTCAGCTTTGCCTCCTTCTCCCAGCCCACTGGAGCTAGAGGCACTTCTTCACTCAGACAGCTATTGGCTGCTGAGGCTGAGAAGCCCCAAGGTTGACAAAAAGGCACAGTCCTGATGTTACCAAACCACACGGCAGGCCATTAACTTAAGTCCACTGGAAGTCCCAAGGTCGGCAGAGCTGCTGAACAACAACACAGTGTGAGTCAATCTGAAGCCAGAGTTCTAGCAGCCTCCAGGAAAATCTTTAACCAGAAACCTTTTAGTGTCAGTAGTGCTAACAGAACTTTT